TCGCTCTGCCATCTCTGATTCACAACAACCAACCTCTCCTATAGGTTTCCTATTTTTGAAACTTCCGCCACCGCCTTGTGCGGTACTACTGGTATATATATAATTATATATATAAAGGTTTGGCTGAGGGAAAGTTCTGTAGCACTGTCCCCGTTCTTACCTGAGCGGGCGGGCATTTGTGACCCCTTCCCGCGGGCCATTGGTTCTTGGCCTATCCAGGGGACCCCATAAATACATTCATACATACATATTATATTCGAGGTGTCAACGGCGTGCGGGTTTCAATTCAAATTGGGCCTTCGAAGGCAACGCGGCTTGCTGCCTCCGCCGCTGATTGTGCTTGGATTTCTCAGGGTTGGCAAAAGGGTCAGACCCCGGGATCTAACATGAGTAGAGCTCGGACATACATATGATATATGACGTATGCACCAAAAAAACTGGGTCAACTGTTTTTAGTTGATTTACAAACCCACTTACCTATATTTCAAGATATACGAATGGTATATCCACAATGAAGCTTAGCAACCTTGATTTACACACAAATGATTCTTCATGTAGATAGATGGATAGGTAGATAGAAATAGATAGAGCTAGATAGAGAAGAGATAGATAGAGAAGAGATAGATAGAGATAGAGATAGATAGAGATAGATAGAGATAGATAGAGATAGATAGAGATAGATAGAGATAGATAGAGATAGATAGAGATAGATACATAGCTAGCGAAGATAGCGAAGATAGCGAAGATGAACCATTTTGAGACAACCCGACATCCGCATCAATGTGGTTCCCGAGCCTGCGTTTCTGAGGACTGGGTCTGCACACGCGCTGCTGTTTGGCCATTATGAATTAGCAAGTCAAAAAAAATCATTTCACTTATCAACACTGAAGGTCGAATGCACCCAAACTTGGATGGAACAGGTTCCGGATGGCTTATCATCCCACTTACCAAGTTGGTTTTAGTATTTTCTGTAAGTGGCCTACACTCATTTACCCCAACTCTACGTGGGTCTACTGGCCATCTATGATGTATATATGTATATATATATAGGGTGAAGCCACCATGGTTTCATGGTGCTTCCTCACACCCTTGAGCCCACACGGCGGCATGTATTGAAGTTTTTGGTTAACTTGGGTTTCAAGCATACAAGAATTAAAGAATCTATCAATATGTGAATTTTGTGACATTGAATTTCAAACTGAATCATCTGCTTGAGACCGATGTGTTCGAAATTGAAACGCCACGAAATGAAAACTTCAGGGGCAAAAATTAAAATGCCGGTACATGAAAACACATATCATATATACATACACAGAGTCAATGGTTCAACTAAAGCCTCAGGTGTTCATCCGTAACTAGTAAACCCGCCTGGCTTTCCAAGAAATCTGCACTTTCCGACTGACTGCATGTTTCTCTTTGAAACAAGGTGGGCCAGAGAACCCAAAAGCAAGACGGCACACAGCGTGCCTTTTCTAAAAGAATTGTGGTGTGGGCAGCTGTGCTCTGCGCGAAATCAATATAACATCTTTCTTGAAACATCGTGCGCACTGATGGCATCAGGGGCCACAATTCACCACAGCGTGCTGCGTCAGCTATGTCTACATTCTTCTAGTCGCTATTTCTGCTCCTGCAATGATCTCTATCCCATCTTTCTAGCCGCTATTTTTTTCCTGGGTTCTCGCTTAGTTTGCTTCGCCGCAGGGGGAGCAAGAACGAAACGTAGACGGACAGAACACTGTGCGAAATGAAAACTAAACGACGGAGGGACGTGACCAAAAGAGCATGAAAACGAAGATATGAAGATGACAGATGGTGAATGATCATGAAAAATGAGACATGATGAAAGATGGGTAAAGACTTCTCTGCACAAAAGTTTCTATGCGCAAAATCTAGTGTGTGTGTGTGTAAACGCGTCTCTGCATAAAAATTTACTTGAGGCCAGGGGGAGGTACGAAAGCTAGCAGGGCTGGGGTAGGGTGGTAATCATGAAGGGGGATTAGCAAGGTGAAGTCGGAATGCGGCAACGGTCTTACGTGGTTTTTTGGAGTTGCTGCAAGTCACAAATAGCGCCAATCTTTTAATGTTGATGAGGTTGCTGACCAGAACGATGAAGGAAACTGATGATAACCAAAGTGATGGTAACAGGAATGAGTTAATGACGACGATAATGAGGACGAAGAGGATGATGAGGATGATGAAGACGATGGGGATGATGAGGATGGTGAGGATGCTGAGGAGGAGAATGAAGATGAAAATGAGGATGGTGAGTATGATGAGCAGGGCTAGAATGGATTGGTTTAACGGAAAATCTGCAGGAAACCATAGATGTTCCCAGTAAATAATTGTTTTTCCATTTTTCCTGCAAATTTCCGTTAGACCAATGCATTGATTCATAAAACCAACCCAATAAACATATATTTCCTGCCTTGGCAAGATTGGAATGGGCCAAATTGTCGCAATGCGCCACCGGCCTACTCAATCTTACCCTCATATAATAGTTGGTAAGGTCTGTTTGTTAGCTCACATTCCACCAATACAGCCAGGTGGTATGAACTGCATGAACCACTACAAACTCCTCCAGTGGAGGGGAAAGGTGCACCTAGGCACGGATGAGTTGAATACATCTCCGACTACGCATGCCTGGCATGGGATTATCTCCCCACGATAATTTATACCAAGGGCACGCCGTTGCTGTACAACGACCAGCAGTTGAGTTAGGTCTGCGTTCTTTCGGGGGTACTTTTTGACTCGTTCTAGTCTGCCTCGCTGATGTTTCATGTACCAATCCTGGATTCACATAAACCTATGTCGAGTCATTAGGGGGCTTATAGTGGAATCAATTCCGGTGAAAATTGGGACCCCCCATGACCCATTGAGAAACTGAGGGCTCTAAAAATCCTGGGTCAACAAAGTACCTCATCCACTAAGCTTCGCTCACCTCAGGCCTGGTCATTGGTTAAGTTGAGTATCCCCGTTAACTTTCATGGGTTGTAATGATCCCCCATAAACCATGTAATTGTAGTATAACTTGATAATCAACCAGTTTCAGAACTGATCAACGGGGCATTTTGAATGTTGTCCTTTTGGGTACCCGGATCCAAGCCCATGTTACATTCGCACTTGTCACCTCATTCACGAAGTCACCGTCCTCGGGAAAACGTGGCGCCAACTCAAGGCTGGAAATAGGCTCTATGAATTGTCCACAGGGATCTGTTGGTTACGGATGTTCTGATGGTATTCCAGGGCATGGATTTCCATTCTGAATCATGATTGCAGGGTTCCAGGAATCACCACGTTTCTTCCCCAGAAATCTGTACGGCGCCACTTTGCCACTGAGGGTGAACTGTGCGACCACGCAAACCCACGACTGGGTGTATAAATTAGGGCTTCATTTTCAATCCAAAGCTTGGATTTAGATCTGTAATTTCATTCCCAAACATGAGCACCGTCAAAAACCTGGCTGCGAACTGGTTTCCGATGGTGATTTGTCATAATCCATTTTCAATAGATTATTAGACCCGCAAGAATTCATTCCCTCCAAATTATAATGTCTCCCAAACGAAACCTTGGTGAAGTACTGGAATTCTTCATTTGGGGGGCCCCATATTGGGTGTTTAGCATTTGGGAGATGGAACTATTCGCACTAAATGAATGCAAGGTGGTTTGTACACTGCATTATCTGTTATAGCCACCATAAACCCTGGTTATATAACCATTAGCCATAGTTGTAGTTGCATATTCGGAACCTAATAACACTATAAGTGATATCCCCCATAGACCCAACAGTTCACCAAGCTATGTTCACCAACTTAGCTAACGACCGCTGTTCCCAACCGTCCATGCCCCTCACGGGCCTGGGTTGCCCAAGGGATTGACAAATGCAACGGCACCTCGGCGCGAGCGCCGCGCTGGACACAATAAACATATCATTTACATACAATATGTCTAGTGGTAATCTATGTGGATGATATGTTGCATTTGTGTGTGATGAGATGTAATTGCCATGCATTTGAATACAATGTAACATACAATAGCATTACATTATATTACATTTATGTTGGTGTATTCTCATACAACTGGAACTGCACCCCCAAGAACTGTGTCAAGCTGGATCGAATTCTGAAAACTCTCAGTGCTGCACTGTCGAAAGCAGCATGGTCCGATGGCAAACCAGCGGTGAAGAAATTTCACTTGAATCAGGCATTTGTGTTTTCTCATCTCTTAGAATTCCATGAAATGGCCTCCAAATGGATAGAGATGAGTGTCCGTACTGTTGTGAGTATTGCGAGTTAGATGCAAAGAGCATGTGCACATCGGGAAGTCCTCCGCTGGAGCCAATTGCAGTCTCGGTAGATAGAATGATGACAAGCCATTGGGTTTGGTGGGTAACCTAGAAACCGTATTTTTGGTTGTATATAGGCTATACATTCGCATTTATCCCTACGATTTCTCCATTCATTCTCATTATATCCCATAATATCCCATTATTTCACCAATATGACTAGACAGCCCCAGAACCCTTTCGTGGTTGGCTCCCCATTTTGAACAGTAAATCCTCAATTTTCCTGGTTCGCTTCCATTTTTTTGTTGTGGGCCAAATTGGGTACCACAAACCTGTTGGTTGATCATCATTATCCGATTAAAATAGTTTGATATTCCACTTTGCAGGGGTAAACCTCATCGATGCACAGCAAACTCCTATGTTGGGATGTCAATTAGCTTCGCAGTTTTTCTGACGACCATCAGTCATCTGGAACCCAGATTTGGCTGGAGAGTTGGGTCTCCTTGGGATTGCAAACTACTTTTGACTTGGTCATCCACCAGACTCTCAACGTGTGGCACAGAAATTGGATTCGCAATTACCCTATGTGGCAAGAAAATATCAACCTTCCAAAGTTCAACCGTTTTGTGCCAAGAAATTGCCAATTTTCAAGAAGCAAAGGAACCCTCAGAAATGGGTTGCCAACCATTATCCATGTAGACCACGATGCTATCCCCGCCTCGCGCATGTCCATGTAAATCACCTCTCCGTGAGAGCAGCCAGCAGGAACCACCTGGGAAGACAACACGGGCAGTGTCAGGGACTGTCGTGAGCTGTTGTGAGCTGGTTCTGTGGGGTCTACTGGTTGATAGGAATCCTCATAATGCACTATGGATGATGTATCAAAATCATCTCCATGAAGTCTGGTAGAGCCACCAGAATCAAGCGAACAGGATGAATTGGCCACCAATCACCTTACTCCAGGGCTATCAAATGTGTGAGCCAAGAACGATTTGAAATGCCGCATCGTCGACTTCCACGACAAACGCGTCTCCTGCATCTGGGGAAAACTCTTTCGTCAAGGCTGAGATGACAACCATCACCTAAAACATCTAAATCAAGAAGGAAGAAATCCGTTTTTTGATTGTCTACCGCTCCTGCGTAGCAGTCGAGCGGAATCTGGATTTGAATGAAGTTGGAGTCTCCAGATGATTTGGACATGTTGTGAAACCTGCAGCATTCCAGGCAAGCAAATCAATGCATATCAATGCCATGTCCTGATGTCAAATAGGTCCACAAAAGTAGTCATGTTGAGTGCAAAAGCATCTGGCCAATGATTTTCACGCGCACACACACAACATCTATTGATTGCATGAAGAGAACCCAAAACACTGGCAGCTGCCATCGCAGATTTTGTAGCTTCATTGGTCTCAAATGAAATGGGCAAACGGATTCATTCGGCATCTGTGCTCAACTGAAGAGTTTGTCATTTCTGTGTTTGCATAAGAGAGAGAGAGAGAGAGAGGGAGGGAGGGAGGGAGGGGGAGAGAGAGAGAGAGAGAGCCTTGGAAGAACAGGGTCCCGGAACAGTCCATGGCAAGGATCAAACAAACAGGGATCATACAAATGCGCAAGGCAACTTGAGATTGGGATGCGAAGTTTTCGCAATTCACCATCGCATTGCTAGTCTGAATCTTTCCAAGTTCAAGCTAAAAGTGACACAGTAAAAAGGCACATACAAGGTGGTTCAGATGGTTCATGTTGGGGTCATTCTGATTCTGTCATTTTGCAGGAGACTACAGTACTTCTCTGGTGGATTGCCACCACTCATCCCCAGTCGGCGGCACCTGCTTTCTCGGCTTTTTCTGAGAGCTTCCTGATGCGACTCGGTGGGACTTCCTTCAAGCGTTATTCCATGGATTGGTGAAAAGGATTCCCCCAATATATGTAGTAGTATAACCCCTATAATATCAACTAACAAGGTTTTTGTACCTAGAATTGTGTGAAATATATATATATATAAATATAAAGAAACATATATATATATATAATAATAATATATACATATATTTCAAAAATCACGTGCTTTGGTCCACCTCTAGTTGTAGGGTGATTCACATGCTGAAACAGTCTCGAAACAGTCTCACACACCATCACTTCAGAAGTTCCACAGCCTCAGCGGATTCCGTCATGACCTGAACTGAAACAACGACTGCATCCGAAACAATGTCGAAACAGCCCAGAACATCATGAACTACATCCAGTTACATCCAGCTTCCCACAAGAACCAGCCTGTACATGCCCTCACAATTGCTGCCATGGGAAGCATCTGGGGTTGCTGAACCCAAAAACAGCAGCCAGGTTGAGCAAATCTCTGGGTTAAAATGTCAACACAACTACCGAACACATCGGATCAAACTGCAAAATGCATTAATACTCCACGCGATTTTCCATGGTTGCGTGCAGGCGATACCTGAAGTCAGAGATAGCCACAGGTTGTCTAAAGTGGGTCAAAATTGGGTTTCCAGAAACTGAATCAGACTAGAATATACCAGAATACTTTGTTTAATCAATGTTAATCAATCACAGCACAGTATAGAAGAATTGCCGTTTCTAGGAGTCTAAGGCAGTGTCAAAGGCGTTCATTTCTAAAGCAGTCTTAAGGGAGTTTTGAAATGAGAAAGGTTGCGACAAAAGCACGGGCCCAAAATCAACCTGCAAATGTATGTTTAGACGGCATCCTGAGATAAATTGCCGGAAACACAAAAAACCAGCCCGAGGAGCCTACAAATGCCTGAAAGCATGCATTATAGTTGATCTCAACTACGCCTTAAACTACGCTGACTGTAGTAAGCAGATTTGGAAATCTGTTTATGCAAGCGGGCGCGCGTTTTTCCTGAGCCGCAAGGCCTCACGATTCACACATGAGTATTTCATGTATGCAAAGGTGAAAATGTTACTGCTATCATCTCGATTTGTGTGTGTCATCCTTGCACTGAGTCTGCATGAAAATCCTAGGCACTCCTCCTTTGTGGAGTGAGCCCCAAGATCGCTTCACAACTGGTTTGATTTTCCACTGACATTTTCACAGCGTAGTCTCAGCACTCATCGCTGATCCTTCACAGCTTTCCAGTGAAATTTTCAACCATCACCATATGCATTTGAAATTGCGGTGTAGTGGTCTGCACTGTTCCATCGTTGTTGATCCACTGCTCGATCTGCCAGATCTGAGAAAACTTCCACAATTCTCGCTCTGCAGCGTCCATACATGGAATGGATAGGGACTTGGTTCTGAAACCCTTCCAAAAGTTCCAAAATGAGATTCTGCAGGTTGTTTGCATCCCAGTATTCTTGGCGATCGATGCATCCTTGATGTTCTGCCTTGATGAAATTCAACATCTCTTCCAAAGATTGTCCTCGGTCACCCAACCTTGAAGTGGTTGTTGGCTCCACTTCCATTTCTGTTCCATCTTCTGTTGCTTCATCTGTTTGGTCTGCTGTTTCAGCTGGTACCATTCTTTGTCTGACCGGTCGCATGAACTCCACTGATCCCATTGTCCTCGAGTTTATCATGTTGGCACGCTCGAGGGTCGTCAGATGAATCCACTGATCGTGGCTTAACCCTAGCCCATTGCGTAGGAAGCCACCATGTTCCACCAGTGAATAGTGCAGGCCCGTCATGTAATCATGTGTCATTGAAAGCTCGTTTGAAGTCTCTGTAATTTGATCAGTCAGGATGGCTGTCTGTTGACCAAATTGGTTTTCCAAAGCTTCGCAACGCTTCTCCAGTTTGTCAATGCGTTCTGCTTGTTGGGCTATGTAGTGATCTTCATCTGCCACTTGCGCCCAAGCATGTTGCAAATCATTGGAGACCTTCTTCAGCATGTAGTAACCCTTGAATGTCACCACTGCAAACGTTGCAAGCATTAGTCCAAATGCCAGCCAAATCCAAAAACTGTTGTAAGAAACTTCCGGGCTCCTGCAAACTTGATCGTCTGGGATCATTGCACCTTCGGCCACCATTGACTCAAGGCCCTGCAATCCCATCACCAAAGCAAGCCTTTTGATGAACTTTCCCATCTTTGACATGGCTTCTCGGTGATGCATCTGTTCAACCATAGTTGCATGCTCCTCCTGGCCGACTTGTTCCAGCGTTTCAGGGTCCAAAGCACCCACCTCAAACATCAGCGCATAGAGTCTGCTCTTGGTGAGCACCTTTGTTCCCACATCACTCAGATTCAAGATCGTAGGAACCTGACCCACAATCACATTTCCAGCAAGGACTTCCTGTTGGATCCATAGGATCTTCGACGACAAGTGGCGTATGCGTCCAACGCCTTGCCTGGCTGCTAGTTGTCTCGCAGCACTATTGTCCGTCCATTGGAAATGTTGCACCTGAGCTGAGAAGACAAACTCTGCACACCTTTTGATGAAAAGGCCATCACAGCATCCACTGACCATTGCATGAAGTTCACTTTCTGCTGAGGACAGGCTGATGACTTTCTGAGTCCTCGAAGAGCCATGGACGTAGCATCCGTTGAGGAAATGCAAAGCGCAGCTGGTAGACTTCCTGTGGGATTTGTTGGAACTCCAATCTGCGTCTGTATACGTTTCCAAGAGCCACTCCATTTCACAGCCCTCCTTTCTTTTGCCTTTCCCTGGTTCTGGAAAACTCAGCTTGAGGCCAATGTTGCCGCTGAACTTCAAATACCCCATCAAGCGTTTCAACCGTTGCAGCGCACAAAGCGTTGGTTTTGACATTGCTGCTGACAATTCCTTCACTGTGAACATGATGTCCAGTCGATCTCTGGAGAGGTAAAGAAGTAGGCCTATGATGCTCCTGTATGAGCTGCTGTCCTGTGGTTCAAGTTGTTGAGATTGGTCCTCCTGTTGAATGCCAGCTTCACAAGGTGTTTTCTGGACACGCACTGTTCCAAACAAACCTTCAAAGCATTTCAGCACCTTTTCCACTGTCGTGCCTGGAACGACCATGATGCCATCGCTCAGCCTCACCAATCGCCTCTTGAGAAAGGCAATTTCTGAGCCTTCACATCCAAGCACATTGAAACTGATGCTGAACTTCTGTTGCATTGTTGGTAAGAAAACATCACGCCAAAACACCAAGTTTCCAGTGAACAGAAGATCATCCACATGCAGCATAAAGGCATTCATACCCTTCCTCGCAAGGCATGGCTGAATGAGACACCACTCAAACTGCATTGTTTCTGTTGCATACTGTCGGAAATACCAGTACCAAGCTTTTGCTCCAAGGCGCTGGCCTGGCAAGTTTTTCAAAACCACATACTTCACATCATGCAACATGACTTCGACTACATTCTCCTGAGGCACCTGAAGAAACGCATCTTTGATGTCCAGGGAGCACAAAACTACCTGATACTTCTCATCGCTGGAGCCACTGTTTTCCACCTTCCCAAGCATGCTCAAATAGGCCAAAGGTATCAGATGGTTGGTATGGCTTCTAGTAGCAGGGCTGTAAGTGTCGTCCCTGCGTGTGTTGGCAAATTCTCTTGCCACAAATCTGCTGCGTCTCATCCATCTCATCACTGTTGTGTCGTCAGAGGTGCCATCAGTCTTGTAAGCTTTCAGTCTCCAGTCATACACAAACCGTGTTGTAAGATTTCCAGTTGTTTCACCTGAGAAATCATCGCGCTTCATTAGAACACCCATTGAAAGTAACCTGTCAATTTCCACTTGGTCTGCCAGTCTATCCACCCAAGCTTCTGGATTGCCTGGCTGCTTGTTGGTGGGCTCGTCAGACCAAAGAGCTTCTGGCACTCCACTGAACTGCAAAGAGTCCTCATCTTTCCACATCTCTTCATCCTCCACAACTTGTTGGTTCCAGTTGAAGTCTGTGTCATAGTCATCCAAGGTGTGGTAGACATCCTCTCCCACCTTCACCGTACGTACCATCTTCTCATGTTCTTCCTTGACACGCTCGATTCTTTGTTTCTTGGAGACTTCAACTCTGGCCTTCTTTGATTCATGTTCATCTGGAGCTTCATCATGAGCTCTGCTGGATGGAGATGCCCTCGGACTCGGTGGAACAAGCGCTGATGTGACTGGAGGTGTCACTGGTGCCTGTTGGCCATCACCCATGTCTTCCTGGGGAACCATATCCTCAAGGAAACTCATATCAAGTTCTTCATCTTGTACTTCAACTTGAACATGCTGAGGTGCTTGCACAGTGTTTGAAGTAGCGGTGGTTGCAACTTCTGGCATTGCTGTTGATCCTGCATTCCTTGAACGTTCATCTTCAACTCCCATCAAGTGTTGTTCACCTTCTTCCCTCTTCTCCTCCTGAGCTTTGGCTCGTACTGCTTCACCATCTGCGTCATGGAGAGGGGAAGGCATCACTGGGCCAATTGGGGCCGCATTGGAAGCTGGTAAGGGCTCCACTGTTCGACGTGTTGGGATGATTCTGCTTCCAAACCCTGTCTTGAAACACCACGTTGGCGCATTGAAGTGTACATAGTAACCCAGGTGTGCTTTCCAGTCTGTTGCAATCCTTCTGATGGACCTGGATAGCATCACATTCTTTCCAGTGAAAACCACATAGGTGTCCTGGCCTTCTGTCTTGCCAAGGACCAGTACCCTCTGCCATCGTGGGTTCCCTTTGTGCGTCGTGTGCACATAGGAGAAAGCAGGCTCTCCAAACTCTGCCAAGCGCCCTTTGTAAACTTTTCCATAAACCACTTCAAAAGGAGTTGCACCATGAACCACACTGAAACGATTCAACAACCATGCTGCGTGTCGAAAAGCCCATGACCAAAGCCCATTGTTTGTATCCAGTTCCACTGACAGTTTTTGTTGCACCCTGTGCATGAGACTTCCAGCTAGGTTCCTGACTCTTGCAATGCTGTTCTCACACAACGCATTGCCATGAGAGTATGCAGCTGGGCTTTTGTCCTTGGTTGGTAAGCCCATGGCCTTTCTGGCACGCACCACAAGCTTTTGTATCTGAAGTGCAGCAGGCTCATTGTCGCATAGGTATGTGCACTCCACATGACCAAGGATCTGGGTAAACTGAAGCAGTTCTCTAACCATCAGATCTGTCTGGGCTTTCGATTTCACAGGCACGCATCCAACAAAGTTTGTAACTGAATCAACCATCACCAAAGCAATGACCGTTTCTGTGTCACGTGCAACACCATCCTGCCCAACACTCTTGGTA